ACAAAGAGTTGTGGGCAAGGCAGGAAAACTCTAGCAACAGTGATTCCTAGTTATGGAAACAGGATCCAGAGTGAGATGCTATGACCATCCACTTGCTTAAGGTCCTGGCTTCCATGGACTGTATCCCTCTGTAGTAAATCCTGGCCGTCCAGTCTCACTTCCACATCCTCAAGGTCCCTGTAAGACATGGCCCTGGTCATACTTCAGTGTCCTTTGCATCCCAGTACACAGAGTGGAGTCTGGAGTCTCACCTGGTGTCCGATGTCTACAGGCTGGTTGCCTACAGCCACCCTGGTGATTCCAGGCAGATCAATCAAGGTCAGGTCTGGGACATTCGGGGAGCTGACATCCAGGCTAATGAGCTTATCACTGATCTGCAGCCCTTTCCCAGCAACCCAGTTCTGACCTGGAGAGGAGGAAAAAGGAAGTATGGGCAAGCTTGTTGGGGTACAATGGGGAGACTAGAAGGCAAATGGAAGGGATCTTATTCCAGGGAACTCTGGGAAAGTATGCCTTGGTTATGTAGTTACCCCAGGGGTTCCTGTATAGAAAGTTGGGTTGGTCCTCAATTGATCATATTTTGAGCTTATTGACATGCTGGTAGGTGGAACCATGCTAGAGGAAGTAGGTCACTCGGGAGCAGATCCATATGTCTTATTTCTGGTCCTTTCCTGTGGCACTCTGCTTCCTCTCTGTCACCACTTGCTCCTGTGACAATAATGTTCCTCCCAGGATAATAGGAAAAGGTGACCCTGGACAAAAATCCTCTGAATCCAGGAGAGAAAGTATGTCCTCCTATAAGGCATTCTGCCAGGTACTGTGCCACAGCCACCCAAAGGAATGCAAAGCCTCTTCTGTCCTGGGCTACTGGGTGGCAGCAGGTTTGAAGGGGTTTCATTTTCGGTGCTGGAACAAGGTCCTGACAAAATAACTCAACACTTCTCTGACTCTAGGTGGTGTTGACAGGCAGTCAGAGGATAAGGGACAACAGGACACCAACCATTATTGATGGCATCTTCCACCTCTGAGGGATCAGAGAGCTCCATTTCGAAGTCATCATAGGTGACCTTGCCTCTCCACTCCTCTCCCTGCTCCAGCTTCTTCAATTTCAGCACCAGAGGGCATCTGGTAACAATACCTAGGAGATGAGGTCCATGTTAGCCCAGTGCTCTGGTGAGCACAGTGTCTTATAGGGCCTTAGACTAACACACTTACACACACTCATCTGCATGAGACTATGGGAATGGAAACATCTGGCCTCACTCTCATGCTGTCTCTCCAGTATGATCCCAGGTCTATATTCTTGGAATAGGAACTCAGGTCATGTTTATCCATTTGAGGTAAAAAGCCACCAACCACTTCAGGCTGCTTCCTTCTAGTGTGGCACCCTCAGCTCTGTGGGGACCCTGGTGGAACCTTTAATGTACCAGACATCTCCCACCAGGCCCCATGCATCCTGGTCACCATCCTCAGGCCACTTCCTCATGCCCCCTGATATGATCTCCTTCCAACTCCTGCCTTATCCAAGGGATTTCACTGGGTCCCTGGAACACTTGGGCTCTGACCTCTTCCTGAGCACTCATGACCATGCCAGCCATGGAGCTTAAGCAGCAGCACTAACCTGGACACCAGTCTCTTCTCCTAAGGGAATGGTCACCTCAAAGGAAAGAGGTGGTACCTGACTACTTAGTGACAGTTTCTGCAATCTGCAGGTTTCAAGTGGCTCTTGAAATGCACAGTGGGACAGTGCAATGGACTAAAGCTGCCCCACCCCAGCACTTGTGCTCAGCCCCAACACCTACAGTGACTGTTGGATACAGAGCCTGAAAGGAGATAACCTAGGCTGAAGGAAGGCTTGAGAAGCTGCATAGGTGGAGCCCTAACCACTGAGACTAGTGCCCTTGTGAGAGGAAGAAGAACCTGCAGGCTGCTCAGGGGAAAGGCTGCCCACAGTCAAGGAGAAAGACCACCTTGACCTTCATTCTGCTGTGGGCCCAAACTGACAGAGATCTGTCTCTATCTTTGAGCCCCAGATCCACAGCCTAGCAAGGCAATAAGCATGAGCTCTCACCACTGCCTCTGGGGAGGGCCACTCCTGACAGTGCTTCCAGCACAGAGCTCTTCCCTGAGCTCTGGTCCCCAATGACTGCAATGGCAGGCAGGGCCAGGTCCTGCTCCACACCCAAGGCCCGCAGGGAGTCGATGAGGTCGATGCAGGGCCGCACCTTCTCCTCATACTGCCTGCAGAGGTTGTTCAGGGACTCCTAGATGAGGGCAAAGCAAGAGTGAGTTTATGCTCCATGGAAGTGCTCCTGCAAAGACTGATGATTCAAGGACAATGTGCATGGTTTTAGAATCTCCAAAAGTGAGAAATGGGTAAATTAGAGGAAATAAAAAATATTGATTTTTGTATTGATGATCAAAATGACAGGATCCAATGTTGTTGTGCATGGCCCATGAACCTAAGATTGCACATATTCCTGGATGCCACATACTCCTGATTATCAGAGCTGGACCTGCAAAGGTGACCTCAGGGTCACTGTTGCCAGAGAAGAAAAGTGACATGGGTTTTCAAGGAGGAAGTAAAGCCATTCAAATTTCCTTGTTCACCGTTTTTATAGGGCCATGGCAAAAACTGGACAAAGGCTGAAGTAATCTCTGTGGAGAGTGAACAGTAATTCTCTGGACTGTTATGGGCTGAGCCAATGGCAGGGCAAACACTCTATGCACGTCCTCTGGCCCAACCAGGGAGATGATCGTGCATTGTTTATGCGCTGCCTGCCTAGTCAGAAGTAGTTGAAGTCCCGTTCTATCCATTTCTGACTCCAGCTTTGATCCTCACAACCTCCTAGCTACTGGTTGCTCTAAAAATTATTACTAGCCTCTGAGACACACCCACATAACTTGCAGGTGTCTACAGTTGTGTTTATTATACTAATCTATTTATTCTCACATTGGCCAGCTTTTAGCTTTACTCTAGCAGAAAACTCTATCACTGCTATCAAGATGTCACTGCAGTCTTTCTTGGTCACCTCGTATTTGACTTCTCTGTGGGGTGCTCAGAGATGGGCTCCCAAGCACAAACTTCTTGTTAGAAGCCATGCTGATATAAAATTTACTCTGCCACAGTTGACTGCATTAGAAGCCAGAATACAAGAAAGTTAATCATGCTCTCTATATATTTGTCCTCAAGGGCTTCCTGTGAGTCAGCTTGCCTGTGTCACTAGGTAAAAGACTCTTGTCCTGAGATAGTGAATAAAATTGTAGCTGAGAGGGTATATACCTCACAGAATGGGACAGGGCATTAAAGAAATACAACATCTAACACAGTTCTATGTACCAGAAAGAGCTGCTCTGACTTCTCTCAACAGCGACGCTGAAGATCCCACTGTTGAGATGGAAAACCCACTGCTAAAGGGAGGATGACCCTCCAAGGTCAGACAGCTGACTGGGTCAGGCTGAGACCAGGCTGACAGGCTTCCTTCCAGAGAGCATATTTGTTTGCCAGCAAAACTGGATTACAGCTCTATGAAAAGAGACCCCAAGGATCTTCTCCCAGGAGATAGTGTCTCAGTGAGTCCTGACAGTGTAGCTGAAGACTAAGCCATGGTATGGGCAGCGGACAGCATAGCACTGACCAGGGCCTTGACAGACACTAATGATACCATCTCTCCCAGAACAAGATGGCATCCCATGAAGGACCAAGGAGGTTCACTGGTCTCACCTTGGCCCAAGAAAAGTGAACAGTAGACCCATATCAACATCCTGTCCCAGGAAGGTTCAGGAAGCCATCATCTGCAGGGGATGTGACATAAAGCAGCAGCCCTCAGATGGACATGGTCATACCTGGTTTTTCTCTCCTAGGTCAGTCTCTCCACTGGGCAATGGGTCACTGGGTGAGGCTAAGGAAGTAGAGCTTCCGATTTCTTCTGTACTGAGAACCATCTTTGATTTCTGCTTCCTGTTGGGTATTCTGTTGGAAATGGGGATTATAAATTAGAAACTAATTATCCAGACCTTGATTAAGATTCACATACATCAGAGACAACAGTATTACAGCCTCCATTCCT